GGCGGGATCGCCTCGAAGCCGATCGGCGGCGGCGGCGGCGCGACCTGGTGCTCCTCCTGGATGGGGACCTTGATCTCCTGGGCCTTGCGCTGTGGCGTCGCAAAGAGGGTTGGACCGGTATCGCCGATGCCGGCACATCAGAAGCCTCTTCCACTATGGGGGCCTGTCCCGCTGGGGCGCCCTCGGTCATTGGTTGGGCGCAACCGGAAGCCCCTTCAGCTGCCTCCCTCGAGCCCGAGGGAGGCGGGGTTGTTAGAGCTCCATCCTGGAGCAGGGCCGGTAGCGGGGAGAGAGGCAAGGGCACAGCAGCGGCCGCCGCCGACATCTGCGGCATCTCGGATTCTCGGGCCCGGCTCAGCGGCGGAGGCGAGAGCATCGGCATCGCTGCATTAGGAGGGGTCAGAGAGGCCGGTGTGACAGCGGGCGCATGCGCAGGCAGCGGGGTCGACGTCGTGAACGTCGCCCGAGATGTTCCGGCTGCCTGCAGAGGGCGCACCGCTTCGCTTGGAGTCTCCGAAGCCGACAGAGGAGCCGTGGCGCGATGGGCCTCAAACGGTCTTCCCGCTCTTTCCTCCAAGGTTTTAGCCTGTGCGGGTGCCTGGCCGCCATTTTTAGGCCCATTAGATTTAGGCCTCTTGGCTTTCTTCTTGGCCGGAGCGGAGGAGGAGGATAAGAAAGGTAGGTCTGGCCGCTCCGCGGATTGAGCTGGGGCGGAGGGCGGCATGAGGGCCCTTTCGTAGAGTGCGGCCCGAAGCCTGGACACTCTATTCTTCCTCGTTTGGGGTGTAAAGGAGGCACAAATGGTACAGGATTGGGTCAGATGGGCCTCCCCCAGGCAGGTGAGGCACAGTGTGTGCCCATCTGTGTCCGGCAGGATATTCGGGCACTTGGTACACTTCTTAAAGGAAGTAGTAGCCATAGCGGGATTAAGAGATTTGTCGATTCAAATCCGGGTCAAGTACCTTAAAATCAGTCCGATCCAACGTCAAGCAAGAGGGCTAAGCAGTAGAATTGTCAAAAAGAGAAGTCCAGAGTCCAAAATTCAAAGTCAGATAGAGAATCGCAAAGTCATAGAAGGTTCTCAAGCTGCCACAAGCGGATTAAGAGAACTGACGGCTAGTCCCGCCCAGGGGCTATATATACTCGGGGGGGGGG